GCTGAACATCCCTCGGAGGCGTAGCGGGCCTTGACACACAGCGGGACGTATCTGCAGCCTCTGCCTCTGACCTGGCATCGGCAAGCTGCCTCGATCCGAGCACAGGCTGCTCTGCATTCCTGAACAGTGAGCCGGAGATTCCTCAGAGGGCAGAGGGAGTCACTGGTGGGAGTCACTGGGAGTCGTCACTGCAATTCTGATGCGGGGGGCTGGGAATCGAGGAGCCGAGGCCTTCTGTGGCGTCAGCACAGGCCTCTCAAGCATCGGAACTGGGGAACCGTCAGAGGGACTTCGGCCATGCCTTGGGGCTCTGGCTTTGGCGACTTGTCGACTTGAAGTGTCACGATGTTGCGACACGACCTAACCGAGCTGCATGCTCCAAGGAATTCTGACGCCTCGGGCGACGTCTCAGAACGCTGAACAGCAGGCCTTGTCTCGAGACTTCCACCGCAGAGACTTCCAAGTTCATCTGCGTGCGCGGTTTCGGAAGCCTTAACCGAGAGTTGCCCAGCGACTGACTTTGCGTGCGCACGACACATTCGGAAGGGCCCCGGCGAAGCGTCCGTCGCTTTCTGGGGACATCTCCGTTTCTGTCTCGGGAAGCCTTGGGAGAAAATCCGGCGATCAGAACCTTATTAACTGGAATGGAAAGTAGCGATGAGTATGATTGGGACTCCAAAAGCACGAGTATGGCGACACATGTCTACTTATACTCAAATGTTCAAGTCTTATGAATGTAATTATAGGGGGCCTGAATAGTGGGAACAAAGCCTTGGGGCCCATTATGCCATAATTACAATCAGGAACCCTACAAAATAGTATAGGCAATCACCCACTAAGGCCCCTTTTCTTGGGGGGGGTTTTGGGGCCCGTTATACCAGACTTACACAAAATAGTGAAGCTCCTCCCTAAACCCTAAACCCTAAACCCTAAACCCTAACTCTGTGAATCCTCTGACCAAGGAGCGGCGATGGGGCTTCGACATCGGCCTCCGAGCACAGAAGGAAAGCGCGCGGTTTAGGGCTTAATTTAGGTTTAGCTTTCACGGTTTTGGGGTTTAGGGTTTTTTTTTTCTAACGCCCTCTTTTCCTTTAGCAGTTAGCTTCGGGAAAACCGGGTTGGTGGGAGGGTTTAACGTTTAGCTTAGCGTTGAAGAAGAGGAAAACTCTGAAGACTGTCGACTCAGGCACAGGCCCACTCGTCTCTGCTGGATCTGAGGGTTGCTGTCCTGAGAAACAAGAAGAGAGCTCCGGCACCCTGTCGGGCATCCCCGAAGTGCCCCCCAACCAGTGCATCAAGATTCAGCTGCAGACTTGTGCCACCGCCCGCCTCACAAAACACCAAGCACGCTTTCCAACAACACGACAGTTGACAAGTGGGCTTCAGGGGAATAGGATTGACGGACATGTTGTCGAATGCAGGCTGACGACAAATCATCCGACGGGTTTGTGCCTGGAAATCCGAGTTCAAGCGTTCCCTCGCTGCACAGCATGGCGCCGTGAGGGATTGGCCCTGCCCCATTAAAAACAAACCGGAGTCCTCTCCGTCCTATCCTTGAGCTCGGGACCGAGCCCTCCTTGAGCCGCACGCTGCTTTCCCCAAGGCTCTCATCCGAAGGCCCGGGCCCAGGCTCCAGGAGTCACGAGACACGGCCTCGTGGCACAGAAGTCGAAGTCCCCTCATGGCTCCTCACGCGGAACATAGTAGCCGCGCCCTCTCTGCTCCTGAAGGAAGAAAGGCACGCCCATCAGAGCGCTCTTCGCCGGAGGGCTTGAGCCAGGAAACTGGAGCAGAGGAGATGCAACCCTCCTGGAGCTGCCCAAAAAACAGGGGCCTTAATAATTAGAAGAGGGTGGGGCCCTTTATGCTATAGTCTATAGTCATTTAATAAGGAAGCCCCAAAATAGAATAGGTAAGTATTGAGGCCCGAAGCAGAGACTCGGCTGCGGCTTCCGACGAGAACGGAAGAGGTTGCACGGAAGCTGGACGAGCTGAAGCAGCAAGGCAGCAACACGAGGCAGCTCTTGAATCTTGAGAGCAGTCGCTTGAGGTTTGCTATCCCTGCGCAGGCTGAACTGACCGAATTCGATGCGAACAACGGTGTGGCAGAAGGCCCATGCAAGCAAAGAAACAGATGCCTCGGGTCAAGAAAAAAGAGGCAGTTGCAGCTCTTGAGCGCCAGGGCCTAGCACCCCCATGATATCGTCATGGTCATCTTCATAATTGGCCGCAAGAGACACCACCATCGTCGTCATCATTGTTTTCTGCTGCTTCATCATCTGGTGTCAGCTTCGTCGTCCTCACTCCGTCGCCGCGGCGATCTTCATCCGCTTCCTCATTGTCCCCATCCTCAAAACCCTCATCGACAGCATAAACCGAACGCAGCCGAAGGCTTCTCAGTGGCAGACGGCAAGGCTCAGATGAAGCACTCAATTTTTTGGTCCCCCACGCGGCTCTGAATTCTCCGCAATAGCAGCGGCTTCGTTTCGAGGCTTACCGTAGACACTGGCGCTTTGAAGGTCCAGTGACGGTGCCGCTCGCATGCTCTATGAGAGGAAGAATCAGGCGGCGCTTGCCGGTATGTCCAGCCTTGCGAGATGCGCTCATCTCTGGCTCCTCGACTGGCTTGACATCAAGCTTTACATCCTGCGCCATCGGCCGGTTGAGCAGCACGGAAGGCACAAGAGGGCCAGCCTGCTCGAAGCCACACTGCAGCCGCCACGTACCAAATGTTGAATTTCTGCCTAAACTTTGCAGAACCTGCTTCGCAATCGCAGGCCCATGCTGCTTGCTCAGAGCTGGCTGGTTCACCCAGAATGTCCGCCAAAGACAGGAAACTGGATACGTCAGTAGCAAGCCGAACTCCTGGCTCGGATCTCCGAGGAACTCAACACGAGCGAACGACTGGGTGCTGCCCGGGCTGCTCCGCAGAGTATGCCCATGGATCAGGCTCCAGTAGTCCCTGAAGGCGCTGTCCGTCTGGAGCTCTTCTGGAAGTTGCTCTTTGGGCATCTGCCCTTCTGGCCAGATGTGGGTAACCTGTGCTGCTGTCAGCCGCGGCAAGACGTGGATCCGGGGCCTTTTGCTGGCCTCAAAGCCCTGGAGGCAATAGCTCCCGGCCAGTTCGGGCGCCCGGGCTGAGCGGGCGAGGAAAGGAGCCAATGGCTGCACCAGCCGCACATCAGCGGAGAAGCGCAGCTCTGCCGTGATCTGAGAGGAGGATGCTGACGCGCTATCGCATTCCACATCCACGCAGGGAACTCGAAGGGAGGGTCGCTGCAGGATGTCCGTGCTGGACATCGACTGCGACTGGAACAGTCGACATGGAAATTCCGCGGATTGCCAGGAATCCCTGCGCAAGCTATCCCGCACAGCGAAGGCTACCAGCCGGCGAAGGATGGCATCCGTGGCCTTTGCTGCCGGCAGGTTGGCAGCAGCTCGATCGGGTAAGAAAACGATGGAAAAGCGAAGCTCCATCTCGAGAAGCACTTCGTGTGCAATGAGCATCTCCGAGCAACTGCTAGGTGCCATGATGGCCACCGCGCTTCCCGACGCAGGTGCCGCCAGCAGTTGCGCACCTCTCTCTGAAGCCTTTTGGACAAGAAGGCGGCTGAGCTGCACAGCTGGGTTGCGCAGCACGTAGACTCGGTCTGGCGGCCGCTGCAGCAAGAGAGAGCTGCCTGGCTGCAGCTGGGCGCAGCGATGAAGAGGCAGGCCATCCCCCAGGAGGGCCAACCAATGCTCATCGACACACCTGAGAGTCTCAGCAAAACAAGCCACCCTGCATGACTTTTGCAGTAAACCCCAAGTTGGCCCCAAATAGTTGTTGGGTCCTCCGAAAGGCCTCGCCTGCGCAGGCTTGCAGCGCCTTGTGCTGAAAGAACTCGCAGACCACGGAAATCTCGATCCGAGTCATCGCCAAGCACGAGCTTTACGACAACTCCATGACCTTGTGGCTTCAGTCTGGGTTGAATTATGGGGATTCTATGTTACGACTCCTGACTCCTGCTGTTTCTACCTTACGGTCCCCTGTTTTCTGGAGGCCCACCTGGCTGTGCCCACTGCGAATGAGATCTCTTCCAGATTCCAGAGACATCGATGCAATTCGTGTGCGAAGCCCTGACGGCGGACACCTCCACCGCCAGGCAAGACTCGACGACGAAAGGGAAGAAAGGGCAAACGCTGAAGCTGCTCCCGGCAGGAGCGTCGATTGACAAGTGCGCCTTGTGCTCCCCTTGGCTCGTCTCACTTGTTGCCTCTATCTCCGGCTTGAGTTGGAGTCCAAATCTCTTGCATGGGAACTTCTCGCCGCCCGCACGGGCTGCGGGGAGCGAAGCATTCCCATGCTTTGATCGCTCGGCTGCCTCGCCATGCAACGGAAGCAGCACTGATTTCGCGGATGCCGGCCTCAATGGCATTGCACGGGCTTGTAGAAAACCACCACGGAGAGCAACAGCCAGCGGCCGAGGTCACCCGCTACGGGCCAAGTTGGGCAATGCAGCTAAGAACCCAGAGATGCTGACGATGATCGCATGTGCACAATCACTGTGGAGCTGTGACTGCGTAGAACCTTGTTGATTCCGTGCAGCTTCCATGCCCTGCTTAGCTTTCGCTAGTAGTGGCCAGGCACGATGAATCGCAAGTGCAAAGCATTTCCCACTGCAGAACCTGAAAAAGCTGGCGCAGGAAAAGTTGATTTTCTGGTCGGCGGCCGGTGCGCCGGTGCATTATCAGGGGGTGTTCCTGTGGACTTTGCAGGCAGCACCCCGTGCATTAGATAGGCAAAGGCAGCTTCCCTCTTCGGGAGGTGCACCCCGCGATGCTGACGCCACCATTGACGAGACCAAGAAGACGGGCTACTGACATCTGGATTGAGACAAGTCACAAGGGGTCCCGTCCCGTCCCGGCCCCGTCACAAAGCAAGGCAATTCAGCAGAGCTTGCATGCGACATGTCCGAGGCATCTTGGTGGCCTGCCATTGCTGGCTCGGCCGAGGTAGCCTCGCTAGGGTGAGACCTCACTTCTTTTCTTTCTTCTCCTTCTTCTCCTTCTTGTCCTTCTTCTCTTTCTTCTCCTTGTCCTTCTCCTTGTCCTTTCCCGAAGTCTCTTCCTTCGGTGGCTCCCCTTGCGGCTCCGCCGGAGCGTTGGTCTCCTTGGCCGGCTCCTCCGCCTGGGCGCCGGCCCCCTGGGCCTTTTCCTGGGCCTCGCCCAGGGCTTCGCCTCCCGAGAGCTGCAGGCGCCAGGCCCTTGGACTCATCAACTTCTCCACGGAGGAGGCCTTCTTCCAGGCTTCCAAGCGCATCAAGACCAGGGTGCCCGCAAGGCTGGTGGGGTGCCCCCCTTCACTGGGCTGTAGGTCCTGGTTTTCAATGTAAGCCTTCAGGTCCTCGTGGCTGATCTGCCCCTCCTTTGCCAAGGAGGACTTCTCGAGGATGCTTGAGACGAAGTCCACCTCCTCGTAGGTGATGTCTCCGAAGCAAACATGCGTGCCGACTTGGAGTTCGTCCTCCTTCAGGAGTCGGAAGACCTCAGGCAACTCGCCAACCTCGATCATGCCACTCCTCTTCTTCTTGTCCACCGTCTTCAGCACTTTGAGAACTGGGTCCGTGGTCTTGTCCTGATCAAAATCAGAAGGTGCTCTAGGACATTCTAGGACTCTACCACCCTCGCATCCCTGAAGCGCACATTGAACAAAACAAAACAAAAGGGCCTCGTGCTCCAGGACCACCTTTACCATCAGCGCCGCGAGCTCCGGAGGGTCGTGGCTTCCCTGGTTCACCTCCACGGACAGCTCCTCCGCGTGCTCCGTGACGGACCGATCCAACAGGCGCCTCAGGACCTCAAGGGGTAGGTGCAGCTGTGCTCAAGTCAAGAACTTGTTATAGAAAATTGGGCATTATCTTGTTTGTAGAATATGGTGCACTATCATGCACCATCTGTGATACTTTAGTCGACTATAGCATACCATGTTATACAACATATCCTATAAAGTACTACCGTATGATGGCTCGACGATCTCGACTTAGTCTGGGCAGAAGGAGCCTGAAAGCCTCAAGATTCGATTTGGATCGAAACAATGCCGCCCCTCTCGGTTTATAACCCCGCAACTCATATGGGAGTTTCCGAAAATTAGGGATACCTTATTTTGGGGTATCTCATAATGTCATAATGAATAGGGATCCTACTAACTAGGTACTACAGTAGGGTCCCCTATTTTCGGAAACCCCCATATCTAGTCACATCCAAAAAAATTCTCCCCTCGCCTCCAGCGCCGCCGTCTCACAGGCGGCACTCCGCTGCGCCTCGGGAACCCCAGAGGCGCTGGCCTCCTCCTCACCGCCCTCCTTCCACCTGGGCTTGAGCGGCTTGGGGGTTTCGGGGTTTAGGGTCTTGGGGCTTTATAGGGTTTAGGGGTGTGTGTGTTCAGGGCTTCTGGGTTTGGGTTTTCTTTCCGGCTAAGGCTCCGCTTCCTTTGTCGTAAATGGGGCCGCTGAAGTGGAATTCAATCTAGAGTCTAGAGTCTCGACAACTGCCATAAACTGCCCATATGTTGCCGTTCTGACCTCGAAAAACGATTTCCAACAAGGTCCGGGGGCTTCTCGTACTTGGTCAAATCCTGGCTATACTTAGCCACGGCCTGCTGATGTTTGTCCCACTTGTCCTTGACACTGTCGTACTCCTTCTTCAAAGCCTTCAGCTTCTTCTCCGGAATCTCCGTGCCGTCGGCCGTTTGGGTTGGCACTCCCTTGGCGTCGAAGGCGCCGAACTTCCCATCATGCTTCCCGGACTTGAAGTGGTCCATGGGATCCACCAGACCTGCCGCACGAAGCTCCCCGGAACTCCAACATACTCGGGAAGACCGCAAACCAAAAGACCCCTCTCAACCCCCATCCACAACCAAAGACCAAAGAAACACACACCTAGGCCTAGGACCTAGACCCTTTGCCCCACAACCCCCCAAGGCCCCGCCCCAAACCCTCCCAGGCCGGTGCCTTTGGGAGCCTTTGGCTCCTTCGGCGCCTTCATCTTCGTCGGCTTTTTGGCGGCTGGCGAAGGGCAAAACGTGGGGACTTCGCTTTCGGAGCTTTGGGCCGGGCCGAGGAAGCGTGGCAGGGGTCTTGAGTCTTGAGTTGCTTGCGATTTCGGGGCTGGGATGTTTCGTTCATCAACTAGCCTGGGGAAGCAGCCCATCGATATGCTTCCAGCTTCCAACACTTCTCAACAACCACCGCGAAGAGATCGTCAGTAGTCTCGAAAGCCTAAGCCCTAAACTCTGGCCCCAAACCTCACCGCTGAGAGGATCAGAGACTAGCGTCAACACTATGCAAGATCGAAGTCACACTCATCAAGATCATCAAAGGGATGTCCCCTGCAACGTGCCTTGGATCTTGATTCCTTCCCAGAGTTGCTGATCGTCGCTCAGTACCTCAACACTGGCCATAAAAGACGTCAGCAATGACGACGATGATGGTAAGTGCACTAGCAAGACATCCAGCCATCACCATCAACAGTAATGTTAGATTCTCTGCCCACGGTCGAGATCAGGACGACGACGAATGACGACCACGACGCCCACTGTCACTACTACCACTGCGGCGACGACGACTACTACTGCTTCTATTTCTTCTTCTGCAGTATTCTTCTTCTCATACCTTCGATCTGACCACTCTTACTGTCGTTGAATCATTACTGTTGTTGCCGTCAGCACAGCCATACTGAAACGTAGTTGTCCGAATGCAGATGGGCTTCAGGTGTTCCAAAGATCAGCGCTGGATGAGTTTGGGTTGTTCGTTTAGGGGCCAAGCTCAAACTTGCCATGGCAGGCCAAATATAATCCTGATAGCAGCCCTGCAGGAAAGACCCGAGCAAGGGTCCGCACCATCAGCTTCTTCATGAGAGGGTCGTGCACACTGACAGACTTAAAGCAGCGGTCCTGCCCAGGATGTTCTTGGACTCCGGCAAGTAGCCGCTGAGGATCTAGGATGTCGATTCTTAGAAACTCTAAGCGCAGGGCCTGTGTAGGGTTTCATCGTTCCGATGCCGCCGCAGCTTAAAGATCAGGCGCAAAATCCGGCTGCTCGTGGGGTCGGTCCTCGAGTCCCTTGAGCTTCTTGGCCACAGCTTTGTCCTGGCAGTGAGGCTATCTTGAACAGGAGCACATGAGGGTGCCTCAGACTCGTGAAGGGCCCAGACCTCCTGAAAAAAACCATCAAACCACGCAAGCCACATGAGACTTCGAGAAGCGAGGTCTGCTGACCGAATCCTGGCAATCGGGGGTGTCCTTGCGAACCCTGGCATCCAACTTCTGGCCCATGACCGGCTCAAGCCTGAGTCATCCTACTCTTGGAGCGAAGCTCAGGTGACACAAGTCTATGAACAGTAGCAGTGACAAGACAGGCAAGCCGCACAGCCACAGCCACAGCCGCAGCCGCAGCGACAGAGACAGCAACTACCACGACCGCGACGACGACCACGACGACGACTATGCTGCATGCTAATGCTTGCGGATGCTTGCGGTTTCGCGTGTGTAACAGGCTCAGGCCAGCACTCGTCGGACCACACCGCCCTGTCCCGGTCCTCCGGAACCTCCTCCACCACGACGACCAGCGGTGTCCTGCCGACTTTTCTCTCGGGACCCCTGGAAGCAGATGCAAGAGAGCTAGAGAGCTCGAAGCCACGTCGGTCAACTTCTTCTGAGAGTCTTTCCCCCGGCTTCCTCTTGGTAATTATGCCGCAAGATGCCGTTGCATTTTGCAAAGCCACATGTCACGTGGCCCCTACTCAGACACTCAGACAGCAGCGACCTACGACTGCATTCAAAATTCAGATGCACGCGTTGGTCGCTCTTTGGTCGCCCTGGCCATCAAGAGTGAGGGGCCCGGAAGCGGAGGGCAAGCTCAGGAAAGCTGAGATGGTGCCCTCCCAGGTATCTGTTAGGTGGCTTTGCCAATGCCCACAGTCATAGTCAGCTTCTGCTGACAACAGCAGCAGCAGCCCTTGAGGCAATCGGAGACCGCTGCCAGGGAAGAGACTTCCGAGCGGCGACTGGAGACGCTCTCCGGGGTGCCCCTTGCGGGAGTCGCCCTTCCGGTCGAAGCCTGGCGCAGAGTTATCACTGCAATTGCAAGTGTCGACATGGGCCTTTTATAATACAGACAACGGGCATGTTTTTGCTGCTACTCGTGCAAGCTATTTCAGCGTCAAGAACTGGGGATTTGCGAGGGGTGCTCTTTCCCTCCCTTCTCATCACAGTCAAGAGGGCACGAGTAGCACCCTCCGCGCGTCGCCGCGCGCTGCTTTCTCTCTCTGCGGGGGGAAGCTCTGTTCATGCTATACTCTACTGCATGGCCACTCCTGCCACTGCAGTCGGGAGTTTCAGAAAGTGCAGACATCCTCAAATCTGGCCTTTCGCTCAAGAACAGACCCAATCATGGGGATGTTCGAGATGATAGTGTTCCGCTTCTGCTGCTGGGCGTTCCCCTGGGTAATGGCCGTCTTCAGGACATCTGCCACCTGCGGGCGTGAGGGGCAAGTTTGGCTTTGACCACTCTGAGTCTGATCCACAATTCCCGAAATCTTCAGAAACCCGCGACAACCATGCTTACAATGCTTACAACCTCAAGAATTCAAACCCTAAAAGAAAGCGATACATCCCCTTCGGCCTCAAGGAAGCGCCCTTCCTTTGCAGCCCGGAGAGGGGTCAGCATCCCGTGCCCCGTCACTGTCACGGACCGCTCCTGCTGCTTTCGGCGTGAGTCTACGGCAGGCTTTTGGCTTTGTTGCTGTGGCCACGGAGAAGCTCCCGGGGTCTTTTTAGGGTCAGGGTTTAGGGTTCAGGGCTTAGGGTTTTGGGATAGGGGGCATGGTCATGGTGGCAGTACCAGAGCATAGCATGAGAAGTGGGCAATATTTTGGGGATGTTTAACACCTTGAATGCCGGAACCTTCATAGCTCACAGCCCTAACACTCCAAAGAAGGGCTCCGGATCGGCGCCGAACTCCAGCAAAAGCCGGACGATGCTCGTGTGGCCTTTCGAGGCGGCACCGCAGAGAGGGCTCCAACCTGGGGGGGCTTAAGGGGCGGGGGGGGGGGGGGGGGGTTAGGGTTTTTGGTGCTTACAGGGCATGTAGGGTTTAGAGGGTGTATATACCTTAACCCCAAATAACCTACCATGTTAAGGGCCTCATAGAAAGAAATCATATTAGGGACCTAAAAAGGTAGGTTCCTTAGGGTCCGGGTAGGGTTTATAGGGTTTAGCGCTTGCCGAGGGTTTTAGGGGGATTAGGGTTCCGGGCCAAGTTAGGGGTTGAGGGGCGTAAGAACTTAAAGGTGCAAGGGTTAAGGGCACAAGGGTTTACGGGCTTAGGGGTTTGGGGCCGAGGGTGTGCTTCAGACTTGAAAACTTGAAGTTGAGGCGCGATTTGAGCTTAGGGCTTGTGTCTCCAGCATTACGTGGGTGTTTGGAGACTAGAGTCGGTTAGAACTGCACTTTTGTCTAGCGTCCGGGCATCCCTCCCGCATCCTCCCACAGAGCCGACGACAGTCCAAAGACTTCGGATTTCCCAGCTGAGAGGGCTTAAGATGGCTTAAGCACCAATCCCCAATCCCCAAACCCTACAACCCTAAACCCTGGACACCCCAAATCCAACAATTCACCCCAAACCCCCAGCCCTCCAAACAAACGGCTTCTTCATAGCGCCGGCCTGCGGAATCCGTGGCTTCCACGTCTGCGGAGAACTCAAGTAGGTGGCTGGTGACCACCTGCAGCGAAACATCTTGCAAAGAGGTGCGCACCGGTTCGTCTCCTCCGAGCAAACCGACCCACAGCCGTGAGAGTAATGATAACGACAGTAATGATGATGGTACTACGAACAAGAACGGATAATCTAACCATGATGACAAAAACTCGCAATTAAAATCGCACGAGGAGTCTGTTCCCGCTAGCTTCAGGATCTTCGATGATTGGGACGCTTTCACTGAGAAAATCCCGCAGGGCCTGGTACCCTTGCCAGGCAGAGACGTGGAGGGCACGATCGCCTTCCCCTGGAAGGTTGGGATCCGCCCGGGCTCTGAGAAGCACCTGCTGGTTTAGGGTTTAGGGTTTAGGATTTAAGTTATCGGGTTTAGGGTTTAGGGCTGCGAGCACTTTAGGGCTTCACAGGGCTTTGCAGTTCCAGGCGTTGGGGACCCTACACCCCAAACTCAAACGCTTTCTCGGTCTCAGGATAGCCCTGAACGCTGTAACCCTAAATCCTACACCCTACAACCCCTCTAAACCGATAACCCCCCACATAACCCCAAACCCTACAACCCTAAACCCTAAACCCTAAATCCTAAACCCTACAACCCTAAACCCCAAACCCTATAACCCTAAACCTTTTGGGGCTCCGGGGCTTCAAAAAAGTTCAAGGCACCTCGAGGACCTCGGCCTGGCCCGAGAAGGCCGCCTCCTTCAGAGGCCACCGGTCGTTCCTGGGCTCTGAGGCTTTGGGGTTCAGGGTTTAGGGCGGTTTAGGGGGCTTTTCTTGGGAATGTCTGGGTTTAGGGCTTAAGGATTATCGGGTTCAGGGTTATAGGGTCAAATAGGGTTATAGGGGTTTAGGGCTTGGTCTGGGATTAGGATTTAAGGCTTCGGGCATCTTCGGGCATGTTTTGAATGCCGGGGTTAGGGTTTAGGGTTTGGGATCAGGGTTTAGGGTGACCTGGAGCGGCAAACTTCGTTGGCCATGCCACAGATACTATGTAGAGTACATGGTTTCCTTGTTCGGGCAACTCAAATGCCGAGTTCTTTTTGCAAGAACCAGGGCTCTCATCCGCCATGTTGGGGTCCGCCCGGTCCGAAAGCAGCTCTCTAACTCTCGAGGCGTCAGAGGAATGGGCGGCCTCGGCCAAAAGGGCGGCCTTGTGTCTTTTCAGGCGCTCCTCGATGTCAAATCGCTCCTTGTGCTGGGGATTCCCCAGCCAAGCGCCACCCGGCATGGCTCCGCTGGATCTCATGTGCTGTGCGCTGATGTCTCTGATCTCTTGACTTCGGTGGGCCCATACTGGCCGTTTCATTTCAAAGATTTCGGCTACCATCAGTGCTGGGCCTGCGGCTTAGGCTGAGTCAGCAACTCCTTAACATGTTGAAGGACTGTGTGCCACGTCAGCATGCACCGGCAAGGACGCATTCTCACTATACGATTGAAGATTCGCTGCAGTGAGCTACGGGTAGCCAGGCACTCGGTCCGGGAAGTGGGCGACAAGGGCCGTAGGTGCTCCACCTCCTCCTTGGGAACAATTTAAATGCGGCAGTGTTACCCGTAGAATGCACGACTTGTGGAGGAAACCCCGTTGAGACCCGGACGGTGTACTGCACTTCGGCATACTTCTCCAGGCATTGCTTCCGAATCTTGGACAGCAAGTAGGCTTCGTACTTTCGCTTGTCGTTTTGCCATTTGTCCCACCTGGAGAGCAAGCCCACAGCGAGATCGAAACCGCACGCAGATTCGGGGATCGGGCGGCTTCTGAAGCAGAGCCAGATCCTGCGCAAGGACTTTGGGGTTGGTCTAGGGAATCTAGGGGCCTTAACCATCAGCGGTCTTAAGGGCATCTTGTCGGACTAGCAGGGGATACGGTTTTGCATCATTCTGACAACTAGACTCGGATTAGGATTCGAGATGATTCGGGGTTGAGAGTTTACCATGCGGCAGCTTCACTTCATTTACAGGAGTTGTTGAACCCCCACACGAGTTCTATGTTGGTGGATGCTGGGAGCTGGAGCAAGCCCCCCCATACCACCACTTGCAATCATCAACCGTAAATCCGAATATCGACACCGATGCTTGCTTGTCGTCCTTCTTCAGCGCCGCCAACTTCTTCTTGTCAAGCGGCTTGCCTTCCGCATCTGCTGTCGGGACCTCATGAGACTCTTGAAGGTTGGATCGCTGTTAAGGTCTAGACTTTAGTGACTGTAGTAGCTGTAGTGTTCAAGCTAATTTAAGCTCTCTGTTGTGCTTGAGGTCCGACTGCGATTGTTCCGCAGCTAGTGTTCCCGATTGTTCCCGCGTTATGCCGCTATCGATCCAAAGAATCTCGCAGGTCACCGTGCTGCCCTACAGAAGTTGAGCTCCATGATTTAACTTGCTTGGCTTTTTTTTCTCAGACCTACCCTGCTGTGACTGTTGCGAGTCGCTCAAAAGCAAGGCGTTGGCGAGCGAGGGCACGGAAAAGAACAGAAACCTTCGTGTTGAAATTGCCGTCGCAAAGCTGCATCATATACCCGCTGGCCTTGCTCAGCAGTTTCTGTATAGTTGGGAAAACGTAGCTTGTTTTCATGAACATACTTCTTGCTGAACATGACCCAATTTTGTCTTGGCCGGCCTACTCTCTTCTTTCCATAGTCTATGCAGCTGGTGGATCTACATCGGAACTTCCTAAAAAATATGACCAAGAAGTTTCGCCCGGCGCACTTCGTGACATTTACTGAACGGTAAGACTTTCCGGTGTTACCAGGAATTGGGAGTGCTGCATCAGATGCTGCTGCAAGAAGTCTTTGATTAGTATCTGCGCGGTTGATATACGTCGAAGTCATACCCATAATACTTCTCAAACGACGGTATTGAAAGGCATCCAGCTTCCTCGCTAAAGCAGGTGTAAGATAAATTGTCTCCAAACCATAAGGTAGCCTACTACGGATGATCCCATCATACACAATAGTGTTCCATCTCTTTGTAGCTTTGGTTGCCATACAGTACGCATTCAATTTAAGCCACGTGCAGCGAATTTCGTGCATCTTGTTCAAGATTTCATGCGCGATGTTAACATCCCTCCTATTTACTTCATTTCCCAAGTGCGTGGCTTCATAACTCTTTGTGAGTACCGTAACATCATACAAATGAATATTACCATCGTTGTTCATGGGAACAGCTAAGCACTTAGACCGATTTAATTTCAAGTTGTATTGTTGCGAGATTCTCTCGGTGAGACTCAGCATTTGGTTTAACCCCCATTTGATTGTGAGAAAAAGGATGCGATATCCAGATTAGGAATGCGATTACACTTCACCTCCTGACCAATATTGACTTGGACGTGAGTTCAACTTGCTTGGTTGCAGCATGCAACTGATGGTCGACACACGTTCTTTGGCTCTCTGTTTGGTCTACCATAACCTATTTGCGCAACCGTTTCTCAAGTCCCCAACGGGCTCACAAAGGGTCTACATTTGAAGGAACCTGTGGGGTCGCCTTGCAGATGCACTGCCGTCGTTCCTCAGCTTACTTCTATGTCTGCTCAGAGGGTCACATCCGCGCTCCGTGGCATGGGACTGTGCAGGCACCTTCTTTCCCTTTGACTGGTAGCATCACCGGCTGGGTGGCGCGATTTTCTGTGCCGTGTAGATAGCATTTAAAGATTTAGGAATCCAGGAAGGAAAAGCAGATGGTCAACTCTTGCATTATGAGCAGACATGCACCCTGCTTAGGGTTCGGAGAAGACAGGATTCGTCAACACTTGTGTTGTCCCATTTCCCCCCCCCCCCCCCCCCCCCCCCGGCGCCCCGCATTTATGAAAACGATCCTGCTGAAGTTCACACGCGTCACTAGAGCCGGAGATGCGTAGCACTTTGCTGGGTAGGCCGGGAGCCTAACTTCTTCAGGCAGTGCCGTGGTGGCCTGAGCCCCGACGCCAAGGCCCAGACCCCATCCGGACCTCGTTCCCCGTAGTCCTCGGAAGAAACGAAGGATAGGGCCCAGGCTCTGAGGATGTAAGGTCAAGGCGTAGGGCTGTACATGATGTAGGGATTTCACAAGAGGGGAGGGATTTGGGGCTGAGAACTCAGGGTCTTCTTTTCTCAAGCGCAGAGGATCCCGGCTAGTATCCCTGCAAACCCTATGCGCCACAAGCCGTAAACTCTTTGGCCCCCATAAGCCCTTTCTAAACACAGTTATTTTGAGCCTACGAATCCCTTCGAACCTTTTTTCAGCCCTCCAGAACTCTGGGGCAGCTGCGCTGAACAGTGTAGCTGGATCGGTGGGCTGCTCGCCGGGCGGCTGGACTTCTACATCCCCTGCAAACGGAATGAGAAGCTGTTACTGTTGCTCCAACGGTTGCGCACGAAGAGTCACGCCCTTGGGGCACGTCCACAGTGGGTTGAATTGGCTGGGGCCAGCGCCGCCACTCTGCTTCTGCTTTTCAAGCCTCGCCGCAGCGACATCGTGGCAGTCTCAAAGCATGCGAGTCTCTCCCTTTCGCTCTGCCCCCGGCGCTTTCCAAGAGCCCATGCGATCAGCCACCTGGCTTATAGACGGCAGGCGGCAAGAGACTCTGGCTGGGCTAGCAGCTTCTGCTACCGACGTCCCGAAAATCCAGCAAAAGATCTTCTGTGAGCCCCGTGCTGCCATGTTCTTGAAGCTCTCGTCGTACGAGGGGTAAAGCCTGGCGAATGCTTTGCTCAAATTCTGCCAGCATCACTGTTTCTCAGGACTCTTGCCGAACAGGAAGTGGCTGCTGTGATTCTATTGGCTGGCCCTCCTGTCCTGGACACCGCCCCGTCGCGGTTGCAGAGGGGACAAGGGAAGGGTAGTCTGTGCCCTCTATGTTGAACCCCCGCACGTGCGAGGGAAAACTGGCCGGGGCGGCTCATCTCTGAGAAAAGCTTTGACATTCTCCTCCACAGACATCTCGAAAGCCTGGGCTTGGAGCTTGGAGGTGTAGAGGTGTGGCACGGATGGGTTTGCAGCTTCCTTTACTTTCATATCCCTCTACACCCTACACCCGAATCCTAGAACCCTGAATCCTAGAGCGCCGAGTTCGAACCAAACGGTTCCAGCTTTCCTTTGTTGGCCCTGGCCAAACTGCACGTCTCGGAGCAGCATGAAATTACCCGAAACCCAGCAAAAGTGGATTTCTGAAACCTCTGGAGCACCTCGAAGAAGCGAATGGCAATCCTCTTTGAGGCCACACTGGTTTTGGCACCACCTGCGCACAGCTGCAATCAACTTTGGGCTGGAGATTGACTTCTCGGAAAGGGCTGGGATGATCGGGACACGGACCACGGACACTTGGAAACAATAAAGTCGCTGACCCTACTTTTCAGGAGCCCCACCTACGCATCCGCAGAACCTGAATACAGAAGTCACGCAGAAATCATATGTTCGTAAGCCATGTGTCAGGATCAATCTTCACAAGAAGAAGGAGACGGGCACTTTAAGCTATCTATGCTACTTAAATTGAACTATTCGGCGGCCTGTCGACTTCGATCTGGAGGTGGCTTTTTCACCTCGGCAAGGTGTGAGCGGTTTTAGGCGTGTGGATTGACGTTGCAGCCTCAGCTCGCGAATTTGGGATTTGGCCACCTACTTGGAAAGCGCTGCGGTATCCAAGCAGCGACGGCACAGGACTAGCAGCAAGATGAAGATCTCAGAAGAACTGCGATGACGCAAGATGAAGATCTCAGAGGAACTGCGATGACCGCCACAAGTCAGCATCTTGCCGGAGCTTGACCCTGGAATGGCCGCACACCATTTTCAACCCTAAGCTCCCATCAAGCCGTTTGAAGGCTTCTAACGCCTAAACCCCTATAACCCTCAACCCCAAAACCCAAACCCTGCGCCGTTGTACGTCCACCCAGAGCCAAGAAAGGACGGTTTAGGGTTTAGTGCTTTTTTTTGGTTTAGGGTTTAGGGTTTCTTTTGGGGTTTAAGTTTAGGGTTTAGGCCTGAGGGCTTCAGTCAACTCTGAGGTCGCCGCTTGGCTCTTTGGGCGCCCTGGGCCGAAGATTTCAAGGGGGGACAGCTTTGAGATCTCAACTTGGGTTGAGGGGTCTATGGAGTTTAAACTTGGGGCCTGGGGTTTTGGGTTGGGAGTTTGGAATTTGAGGTTTGGGGTTAGGGCTGGGCATTTCATCAAGATGCTTCATGCTCGTCCCCCTAAACCCTAAACCCTGAACCCTAGAAGAGAAAGCCGTTGGCACAAAGCAGCGCCCGTTCCTTCGGAGTGATCACTGGCTGAGGACCCGGGCTCTTCGGCTTGGGTCTTGCCTGGCAGAAGCAAGTCTTTAGGATACGCCTTGTTTGCCTTGTTTGGGAAGGGAGAGCGGGGCCTAATCGGCGCTAATCCGCCGACCCCGCTGTTGGGTCGAGCGCCGGGGAAGCCCTTTCATGGTAAGTAGCCCCGGAACCCTCGTAAGTTCTCCACCTCAAAACCCTGTCCATCGGAACACTGCCAAATATATCACAACCGGAGCCTGGCTGGTAAGCATGCCAGGCAGAGCGAAACACAAGCTACAGTGGAAACAATAAATGCCGTGATCCCAGCGAATCCCGACCAATCCCGACCCAAGTCCACCCCTGCGACTACCCCCTACGCCCCATGCTGAATCAAGCCACTCCTGCCCCCTCCCCCCTGCTCCACCCCCACCCCCAACCAAAAACTTCCGTTTTTGTTCACAACCTGCGAATGCCCACCAAGTCCCACCAGAAGGTCCGCGCTCCACCAAAAATGTCTGTTTTTCTGCTGAACAAATCCCCACCCAACCCCGACCCCCTGGCTCTACAACCCCTCTAGGACCTTTGTCCATCCCACTCCTGCCCTTCTCTCCCGACCAACTCCACCCCCTGCACCTCCCCCCGCCCCCCACTCCACCCAACCCCTAGCCCCCCTTGACGCTTGACGGTGTGGCAGCCACAACTCCACCGAACCCCCAAGATCGGCCCCCCCGCTCGACAAAGAAGGAGGACTTGCTGCACAGCCAGTTCGCCTATTTTGGTGACCTACCCTTAACCCCGCAAACCGAAGCCCCCGTCTGTTCCACCAACCCCCCTCTGATTTTGTCTCGGGCCGAGAGAAGGATGAGTTTCTGCTCATGTTCCCGCGCAAACGCGGCTGCACGAATTTTGTTGACGTGATGCTTGATGACGTTCGTCGTGGCGCCGACGCAAACTCGTGTTTGTACCGCACGTCCTGCGCCCACTGCTGACCAAACGGCGGCTTGCGCGTTCGAGGCGGCAGATCTTGCACTCCAGCGTCATTATCTCCGTCGGCTTGTGGGCACGCCGAAGAGCTCGGCACGCTGGATTTTTAGACAGGACATCCCCGCAGCACCAACTGCCTGGAACGAAGCCCTAACAAGAGCAGGTGGGGAAGTCCTTTCCCAAGTGAACTGCGCCTTCTCGACTCCCAAAACAAGGTCATAACAGATCTTGCTTTCCCAAGTGAACGCTGCGCTGGAGACATACTTGCCATGTGCGGCTACTTTGCAAAACCCTGGCGGGAAGTCATAACATTCCAGTCTCCTGCCGCCCCCCTTTGCGGGGTCAGCGGAAGCGGCATCAGCCTTCAAATTAAGCCCTAGAACCTTGAAACCCAAACCCTTTAAACCCTCAACACCTCTCAACCCTAAACCCCACCCCCCGTCGGACTGCTGTTCAATCTTGCCTGCATCGAGATCATCGCCCACGGAGGTTGCGCAAAAGCAGCAGAAAAGCTTCTTCGCGCCTGCACTGTATGTGTATGTGTATGTGTGTGTGTGTATGTATATGTATATATGTATACATATATATATATATATATATGTATATATATATATACACATACAGATATAGTAGCCATGTATACATATATATATATATATATATATATATATATATATATATCATACATATGTATACGCACCTATGGCAGAGATATACATGTTATACAATATGGAAAAATCCACACACACACACACACACTAGCTACATACACTGATGAACAGAGAGACAGATAGATAGACGGACAGCCAGGGAGGCTGACAGATAGACATGTAGATAGACAGGTAGATAGATGGATACTGTAGGTAAGTAGGTAGCTAGGTACGCAGGTAGGTACATAAATACATTAGTCCACCTATACATATATATATATATGTATGTATATATATATATATATTCATTCGCGCCTTTTTCAGATGTAGAAGCCTGCCCCACAACTGCACAGACAGGCCTTTGGGCTTCATGTCTTCATGCTCATCAAAGAAGAGCGTTCGGTTGTCTTTCAGGTTGCGCCAGATCCTCAGAGGCTTGCGTTTTAGAGTTTACGGTTCAGCGTTGATTAGTGCTTTGGGATTGGGGTTTCGAGTTCATAGTTTAGTATAGGCTTTGGAGTCTAGGTCCGGTTTATTTTGGAGAGAGGCTTCCGCCTTTCATCTGCGAAGCTGTTACGGCTTGGAACCCAAAGCCCTGAGCTTCAGGCCAATACTGCCCAAGAGCGCCCACGAAGCCACAGGCCTTGCAAAGGCAACGACGACAAACTTTGGGGCTTGGAGCTTAGGGTTTGTCCTGACCCACTTCGGTTTTGCGCCTCTTGTGCTGTCAAGCACCGTCCACATATGGATGCAGGGCCAGCATCATTCACCCCGCCGTGTGGATGTTGGGCCAACATCAGTCCAGGTGTGGATGTGCCACCCCATCTGCGTGCATGTTGGGCCAAACATCCGCCGTCTATACGTGTAGACATTAGGCCAATGTCTGCTAAGCCTGGCTGTTGGGCCAATCTAAGGCTCTTACCGTGGCCCACCCCCTCAGTCCAAGTGTGGATGTCGGGCCAACATCCAGCTTTTTATCTCTCCCTGGTGGCCTTGCTAGACTTGCATGTTAGGAAAGCAAAAGGAAAAAGAGCACGCCGTGATTTAGTCCCACCCCTTTGCTGTGGGGGGCCAGGGAAAGCACGATCGCAACCACGTTCCCGCCTGTTTTTCCATCACACTATATCACAATCGTATTTGTGCTCTGACAGCCACTAGCAAGCTCATGAATCCTACATCCCCCCAACATGAGCTTCAAGATCTTCAGTCTTCAAGTTGACCTGGCGACCCAGCCCTGGGATTTCCACCCCGCAACGAATGGCTCAGTTGTCTGACTGAAGGTCGCCGGATGATGAGGCTGATGCCGCTGACATTGGTGATGGCGATGACCGCTGACATTGGTTGGCGATGATGGCGGTGAAGGCGACAATGATGATAGTGGTGCTGATAACGACGACGACGATGATGACCGTGACCGTAATGACTGTGATGGTAATGGCAATGATGATGATTATGATGATGACGACGGTGATGCAAATGGCGATGGGGCTGGTGGTCGCGATTGACGATGATGACGATGATGATGACTACGAGGATGATAACGACAGTCTTGATAATGACCACAAGAAAAGAAAAGGAGCAGGAAAACGAGAGTGTGGATATAGGACGAGAGTGCGGATATGAGATGACAAAGATTGAAGACACCCATGTGAATGACGATGGTTGTGACCACCTGGTGGTGATGATAGAACGATTATGACGGAACTTCAGGAGCGCCGTCGCCAGGAACCGGGCGCCAGCAAGCAACCACACAAATCCGCTGGTGGAGAAGGTATCTGCCAAACCAGCGCAAGCCTGAGGCAGCTCGAAGATGTGTCTTTGGCTGTTGCAGCAAATTAAACTGTGATGTTCAGGCAAATGTGATGTTACAAGTGTTCGAATTACAGCTGTTTTGCACATGCGGGGACGAGAGGACAACAGCGATGTTTCGAACCAGCAATGCGTACCCCAGAAAGTGTGTTGCATTGTCACCAGTTAATACTGGAACTAACAGCTATTCCTGCACCAGCTGATGATAGACTGCATCAGTCTGCTGAGAATCTTCACTGTTGAAGTTGTTATGCCAGTCAGCTCATCAGCTCTGACATCATCAGCAACACCTTCACTGTAATCATCATCATCATCATCAGCAGTGGCAGCATCCCCACCCACATGCCCGACACTGCACTCTCATCGCATGAGCTCAAGTCGGTTGCAGCAAACCCGGCCTGATCGTTGGCCACTTGCCAGGCATCAAACACCTGAACATGGGTGTTAGGATCCTCATCGACAGGCACGATCGCTGCGACTCGCATAGACTCACTTCGGCCACTCTTGATTAGACGATGCGGGGTTTTGACCTGAACCTAAACCCCTACACCCGTCAAGCGGTCCAGCTCTTGCGATTTTGGGCCCGAGCCTGCGCACAGTCCAGCCCGCTTTGCAATGCTGCAAGGCTCGGGTGCGCGGTCAACGCCTCTCTTAGGCTCGATTGAAGGATCCGCACACAAGACGTGTCGTAGCAGGGGGAGGTGTGGGCTGGCCACCTGCATGTCGGACAAGGTGCTTTGCCACGCACTTGAAGATTGCCTGAAAGAAGGCGGTGGAAGATCATCCGGTAGAAAAAAATTCACTCAGGCATCGTGTGACCGCCATTTGCCTGATGGTTCCAAGTGCGGCAGAGACATCTTGCCTGGCGGCCAGAGGTGACAATGGAAGTTGCTCGTGGCTTGCGTGGCTGGGACATGCCAGGCTGTCCCGGATTGGAGAGCCAGCTGAGCAAGAGTCTGCATGTTCGCCTGGAACCTCGCAAAACAGAGAACTGAGGATTCCTCAGCTTTGGAGCTAGCATTGAGGCAGGGCACGTTGGCAAATCGCAGGAAGTGCTGGTCGGAGCCTGGAGATCAAGAGGCGTTGACTCTAATCTGGCGAGCAAAAACCTGCCTTTATTCTATCTCTAGGTGGTGCGTGCTTCAAGTCGGTCACTTGCGTCATACTACGTTTGTTCCTTTGTCGTTACATCCGCTCTTTGGAGGCTTCGGATTTACCACCGCCCGCGCTCGAGCTTGGGATTGCCCACACTTGCAGCTATCGTCCTCCCATCCCTCGCGTTTGGCTTCAGGGCGCTCTCATTTTCGGGATCATGCTCTGAACATTCCCTACCCCTTTAACGTTGGAGCGGGCTTTTGGCCTGCACTTCTCCCGGTGATGACAACTCTAAAGTGCGAATATGCGTAATGAGTACGATGGATGCATGGGTGGGTCGGTGGGTGCATGAATTGCATGGATTGAAGGAGGGCGGAAGGAGAGGGAGGTGAGGGATCGGCATCAAAAGATGATGGTCATCATGATGCTATGATGCTGACGCTGGCGGTGATGCTGGTGATGAACCGTGGAGAAACGGGACGTTCAAGTTCAGGGCAAATGCACGAAAATGAAGGCGAAGCTGAGGATGATGAGACGATTGCATGCAGGTGCCCACACATCGAGTATCACGGCTGGCTAGACGTTCACGCCTCATGTGATGTCCATTCGTACGGCCTAAATGCTGACTCCAACCCAATGCTCCACCAACAGCCAGCCTGGGCGAGTGAGATCCACGTGTAGCAGGTATACACCTGACATGCGCCATCGACCACAAAACTCAGGAGAAGGACACCTAAAGAAGGGATTCCTTCAAAAGCAAGCCCACAGTCACAGGGCCCCGAACCCCCCGAGAGAGAGAGAGAGAGAGACCATGCCGCAGAGCTGCTTGCGAAGTCGCATCGGCCGGGGTCGGAGTGAACGTAGTTGCCGAGCTCTGTGCCTTCAGGTCTCAACTGGCTTATGGGGCAGTTGCGAAGTTTTTGGCAGGGTGTCAGGGAACGGGTTTATTAGACCATTTAGGGCACTTGCGGTTTGGGACTTGCATACTTACATACAAGGTTGCAGACTCGGACCGGCGATTTGTCTTTGCAAGCCGAGGCCACTCTAGAGTAAGGCCACCAGCCACCCAAACCCCGACAGCCTGCATTCAAAGGATCTTGGAGCCAGCTTACATCGATTCTAGCTGTGGAGCGGGAGCGGGCCTGTGTGTTGAGCGTCTGGTACCTGCATGAAAGGAGCGGCCGGGTAGTCCCGTGTGAACGACAACATGATAGCAAGTGTACTCGGATTGCAGCAGTACCAGTAGATGTGGTGGCCATCATGAAGAATGCAAGAGCGAAAGGCTTGCAGCCAGAGCACTGAGTGAGAAGAGGGGCGAAGTCGAAGGAGAGGACCGAGCTGAGCTCGGCCGCCATGTCCGACAGCCCCTGGACGGGCGCCGAGAGCCTCGGTCCGAAGTCCGATCAGGAGGGGAGGCGTCCGCACCATGCTTTTTGCCTTTGTTTAAACTCCTTGTTCCACCTGTGCGGAGATCCTTACGGGCGAAATCCATCTTGTGGAAAGAGCCAATGGTTACTTAGATGCAGAAGAAACCCTGTCACGTCGAGAGCTTCGGGTTTCGATGGGTTGGGACGATCCAGACAGAGGTGTCACGCCTGCACTGGGCCCCAAGCCCCAGCATAGGAAAAAGATCCCGCGATGGCACGTCAGCCGCAGGACCCAGACAAGCCTATGGCCATGGCACACACAGCAACATGTTCAGTTCAGCACTGTCAGCCCTGTGCAAAAGGCCGAGTGGAAGGCAAGTGATGCGCTCCTTGCCGCCACAACCTGCCCGATGAAGGGCACAAGACAAGGGAAGCTCCAGCTTAGACACATAAGAGAGCGACCCTCATTATCCCCTACATGGAGACCCCATGAGGGCCTGTGTGCTGTCCCCCGACAAGCCAAGCAGGATGCCGTACCTCGGAACAGGCTCACTCGCAAAGACCTCACACACACACACACACATCACATGATGGGAGCACCGATCGAGGCCATCTGAAGCACTCAACGTGTCCATCATGATGCAGAACCTCCAAGGGCATGTCAGGCTTGTCGAGCTTCCGGGCTACACATCCTAACAAGGATCTTTGCAAGCCACTGGCTGTCGGCGATCTTGGCCTTTCACCGTCTCGGGGCTAACTTCAGGATTCAGGCAACAATAGTCCAGAGCCGATAGCCTTATGAACCCTCCGAACCAAAGTCCTACTTTCATGTGCTGTATGCAAGTCGCCCTGCAAAAACCCTGCCTCCCTGAAGCTCAAATCATGTGAATCTCTTCAAGCCACAAATCCTTCCATCCTGTTCCCTGAAAACCCGAACCCCGAGCCCTCAACCCCCTTCCCCCTGCTTCCCCACATACTCCAAGGCAAAACCCTAAACCCCCCCCCTGTTGTTGAACCGAACTTGTAGAGGGCCCGGCTCACTTCCCACCGCCGCGGAGGCCTCGGACTTTCGCTTGGCAAAGCAAAGCAGCAGACGGAATAGCATGCTATAAGACGATACTGCATACGTGCCATAATATAGCACAGTATACTATGGTGTAATAGTATGGTGCAGTATGATTTGAAATACCATAGCACAACATAATGACCCATAGCGAGTCATGACATGACATAACATAGCATAACCTGACCTAACCTAACATGATGTAACATGGCGTAATGACAAAGTATAGTATAACATACTATAACATAACGTGGGGAAACTACAATATAGTTGATACGATTTAGTATGTCATATTTTAATGTAGTAAGGTGTTAGATAATACAGCATAACATAATGTGACATACTGCGATATACCATGATATGATATCATATGTGCAAAATATGCTATCCATACAATATGTCTTGAAAACAAGTTCTGAGACCTTCCATGAGTTTGCCCCATTCGGCTTCAAATCAAAGCCATCTAACGATCCAAGAGGAATTACGTCAAACCGCAATCTCTAAGAACCTAAACAGGGAACCTAAATCACCTGCTCTAACCTCTAAGCCTGAATCGTAAACCCCGGACCCTCCGCCCTAATCCCAGACCACGAAGCCCCAAAACCTTCACAAATGCATAACACCACTGAACCCTAAATGGGAAACCATTAACCAAGGAATCACAACCTGCTTTCAGGCAGAGGACGAAGGTGACGATGCCCAGCACCGCAGCGAGAAGGGCACCCAAGCAGCCACCGCACCTCGGCATCGTCTCGAGCCAATGGGATTTAGTTGGGGGTCTACAATCTACAAGGTCTGTTTACGGTTCCTTCAAAAGGTTTTGTGCTTGCAAGGCTTCTGGCATGCTTATGTTACTTCAGGAGGTCACTGACATCTGAAAAACAGGGACCACGCGTCGCGTATCGACATCAGTAAATCTGTGTGCGTGCCAAGTCAAGCACTCGCACGAAACTTGATGCAGGTTTTGTTTGAACCATGGCTGCAAGTACCAGGCCCAACAGGCTGTTGAGAAATGGGAACAGATTCTCACTTCAATCACAGTCACCAGCACACGTACAGGTGAGCCAGTCTTCAATGACTGATCACATTGGTCAGCCCAGCCTTCTATTGCTATAAGGGCCCTGGGCCCTGAAGAAATGCCCACAAGCCACACTCTCGGTCGGTATGCTCTTCTAGTCTTTGTACCATGTTATATGGGCGACATGAAACACAATGCCGCATAAACTCCAAAACCCTTACAATTGCTTAAAAAAGGCTCCAGCACTGTGGTGGTCTGTCTGTGCTGAGCCCTGCGGCCAACCACAGGCTGCCCACTGAGGAGCCGGATGGTCCTGGCACACATCGGCTTTAGGCGTCTCGGTTTGCTTGTGTTGTGAAGGTCTTGTTTACTATAATAGTATAATTATAGTATAATTATAGTATAGTTATAGTATAATATAGTATAATTATTGTATATTATAGTATAGTATAGTAGTTTACAGCAGTCCCTATCCCCAGCCCTTGCAAGCGCCGAGCCTTGCGGTCAATCTTGCATCTCCGCAGGCAGCAGCACCAGTGCAGGCTGTAGAAAAGGAAGACCAGGCCGATCTCGCGAAGATTATAGTTTAATTATAGTATAATTATAGTATAATATAGTATAATATAGTATCCGAATCCCAAGCCCAAGCTGCTCGAGAAGCTGTACCCTAAACACCCCAAAGCCTAAGCCTGCAGCGCTGAAACCCCACGCCCGTAAAACCTCAAACAGGCGAGGCGGGAAGCAGACTAATACGGTTGAGGGTTTAGGGTTTAGGTTTTAGGGTTAAGCCTTAAACCCTAAACCCTATAAACCCTAAGCAGTGGCGCCGTTTTTTCGCACTCGCAGGCGCCCAAATGGCGTCGGAGTCCGTGAGGTCTGGTCTGCGCAGCCGTCTGAAGGTGACGGAAGTGCGACTGCCCACCGGGAGATCCTGGCCCTCGTACCTGAGAAAGACAGTTTCAAAGACCCCAACATACAATATGGTATACTATAAGTTCGTATGATATAGTATGATACAGTATAGTATAGTTTAATAGAGTATAGTATAATTTCGTATAGTATAGTATAATATAATACAGTATAGTTTAGTATGATATAGTATATGTATAATATATGGTCTTACAGCTTTAGGCTTTCAGTGCTTGGGCTTGCGATTTAACGAAACGCCGAAGTCGGGAACATTGGCTGATTTTGCAGTGATGCGAGATTCAGATGGCAAGATTACTCTGATGTAGAACCCCACATAGTGGGATCCTTGTTGTAAATCCCCCCCCCGGAAAAAAAAACAATGTTCTCCTAGTTTTCCGAATGCCCCGCTTTGCGGTAGGGCCTGCAGTTGGGACGAATACCATGCTTCCACTTCCACCGTACTTTGCCGGAGAAGACGTACACGGAACCCTCCTGGCGCAGATATTGCATTGGGTTGAAGGATCATCTTAGTCCCTATACACTTATACCGAAATCATACGGTAATGTACCCCCAAAAAACCCTCATTAAACTATGACTAACCAGTGGTTTGGGGGTTCCCTTGGCTCTTTAGCTCCTTATTTAATAGGGATTATCATCATCCCTGGCTCCTTAGCTCCCATTATTTCAGTGGTTAGATGACCGGGACGGCCTGAAGCCTTGGACCCTCGAAGTGGCTCCTCGAGCAGCACCTGCTGACCGCAGCTTCGTTCAGCGCGCTCCCCCTCGCAGCCTTCTTCCTCCGCCTTCAGGGTTTAGGGTTTAGTGAGAGCTTACGGGTCAGGGTTTCAGGGCCAACAAACATCCGCTCCGTTGCAACAGGTCCCAACACAGCAGCGCGTGGGCTTAGGCTTAGCTGGCACACCCACAGACCTGCAGCAATAACCCTCGCCACTCTGGACCCCCAAAGGCCCTAAATCCTAACCCTGAGCCCAGCTTCTCACACTCAATGCTAAATCCTAAACCCGAAACCCTACATACCAAACTCAAAGTTTCAACCCCCCAGCGCAAGCCCCAAACTGTTCGTGGGGTGTAGGGCTTGCTGTTGAGAGTGTTCGGCCTTGGTTGGTCTTTTGGCTTTACGCTCACTTCTCGGCTTTGGGGTGTTCATGGGTTTGGGTTTGGCCAAGAGATTTTACTCGGGCCTCGTGCTTCGCTGGAAAACTTTCTCGCAAGTCCAGTGGCTCGAGGTCCATGACCTGGGTCGAAAGAAATATTTCGCGTGGGGAGGCCTTGTTGGGAAGCAGGTCTTTGCGGTGGTGTTCTTCGGGTGCGTTCGTCTGACTTGGAGCGTTTGGGCCTCCTTGTTGGAATGGGAAGGGTCTGGCGGAGCTAAATCATTGTATCATGCAGAGACGGGCAACTGAGCCCTGTGCAACTGGAGCACCCAGACTGAAGCCAACGATGTAGTCCTCACGAGGATCCCGGCGCGCATGCTGAGCCAGATGACCGAAACATGCGAATGGCCGACAGTACACCCATGGCACACCAAGAAGCATCGAAGTTGGCCCTGTCCACGTGCATCGGTATACCATCGCCTGAGTCTGGATGCACGAGTTGTGGGTTTAGGGCAGCGAGGGAAGGTAACCCTTCTATACCCTAGAACGAATGCTGATCTCCGAGTCTACGTCTCGCCTTCTGAGTAGAAGTTGACGATTGCCTGGTCGAACCAGTACCCGGGTGGCAGTATCCCTGGCAAAAGGCATGCACCACCATCACAGCATTGTCAAGCTGTCTCAAGTATACAATAAAGGGCATGCCCCTCTGTTTCAGAACGACTCTAAGCTGTCAGGGGAAAAAGCCAATCAGAAGTACCCGTCCTTGTCTTAGCGGCAATGCGATTATCATGTACCAACGCACGGCATGAAAGCTTTAAGCTTTGTAATTCGTTCCTCGCCGACTTTCGGACCCCCTCCTGGCCTCGCTCTCGCAGCTCTAGCAGCATCGGCCCACATGCATCGAGGATGGTGATCTCACCCTCATGCCTGAGTCATTCAAGCTTGAGCTGCTAGTGTGTAACTCCTGCGACAGTGTGTGAACCACTGCCAAGACGTTCTACGAGCAAGATGGAAAAAGCCTATCGACCAGTGGTCTTGACATTGGATCTTCAAACCCTGAGAACAACTCTCCGGTACTTGCCTCAAAATTGCACCGAGGTGAGGTAGCAGGGGCAATCCCCAAAAGGCTTCTCTGCCTCTTCTATGGCTATCTGCTATCTTTTAAACCTGTAAACCCAGGCAAAGACAGACGATCTGCCGCCACACTGCCGGCTGTGCGGCCGTGGGAAGCCGTGCCAATGAACCTTGAGGACTCGTTTCATTATGTTTAGATATGATGAAAAAGGGTTCAGGGCTTTGGGTTCGGGACTTAGGGCGTAGACGAGGCTCCTTTGGGGTTTGGGTCCGAGGGCTTCAGAATCAGGCTGAATCAGGTAAGAAGGATTACAACGCTCCCCCTGTCAACTCGGCTTTCACAAAAATTGGTATCTTCGGAGTCAGGGGAAACCAGACCAAACAAGCCCCAACAAGAACACAAAAAACCTTCAAAACCCTAAACCCAACAAGAAAAAAGCTTCAAAAGAGTTCCAAAAAGCCCCGGGCGTCGCCGCCAGTGGCCTCCCGGTTGAGATCGTTTCATCGCCACTTGGCCCGCTCTCCACTGCCGCACGCAGGGCTTGGACCTACAGGCAACATGTAAGGACCGTAACCCTAACCCCTTAACCTTAAACTACAAGCCCTAAACCCTAAACCCTGAACCCCAAGCCCTAAACCCAAGCCCTAAACCCTGAACCTTAAACCCTAAAACCGCTAAGCCCTAAACACTAAAGTGACTAACCGGAGCATTGCTTGGGTTTCGAGAATCCCAGAATGAACAACCAGTCTAGAGCCGCTAAGGTGCGGTCCTCCTTGCCCGTGGAGGTATATTCTCGCATGGTAGAGGGTATATTATAGTATACTAAAGAGTACATCACAGAGTATATAATAGAGTATGATCGAGGACATTGTAGAGTCTGCTAAAGGGTATTATACAGCAGATTACAGCAGGACCAGCTATAATTTAATTAAAACATAGATATATATAAATATAAATAAATATAGATAAATATAAACAAATATAAACAAATATAAATAATATGAACCAATATAAACAAATATAAACAAATATAAATAAATATAAATAAATATGAACAAAAAATATGAATATATATATATATATACATACATACATTTTTAACAGCCGGGCCTGCACTTCGCTCAGGAAGCCGGGGGAGTAGAAGAAGCCGTCCTCGGGGTTGGGGGGGGCCCTGCTTCGGGCTTCTGCCACTACCGGCTTCATATAGGGGCCCTGGTAATTAGAATAAGGGGCGTAGATGGGATCTATAGTAGGGTTCTATAATGTACCAGTAGGGGCCCTAATGAGACTAGAATAGGGTTTTGGGACCCATTGTACTATAGTTTTGATAAGGAGCCCCCAGAATAGTGTACGTACGTGTAATTATTAAGGCCCGTATAGTACTCAGGTCGAAAGTGATCCCTTCCGTTCACAGTGGGACCCTGACAAAACTCTCCGTAAACCCCTTCCAAGCCCTGAGCAATCCATGACAACACCACTACAAAGAAGTTTCGAACCCCCCAAGACCTTGAAGAACAGCCCCAAACCCTGAAACCCTTAACACAACCCCAAAGCCCCAAATTCCCCCCTTTCCCAGATCAGCCAGAAGCTCCAGAGGCGGACCCTGGGGCGACTTCTCGACCATGGCGAGGAATTCTTAATACAGGGGGCGTATTGACTAGAATAGGGCTTGGGGAGTAGAATCACGGGGGGGGCTCATAATAGTGGACCTACAAGGAAGTTACCATTCATTGTTGCTCCGACCTCTGTAAGGGTTGAGGAACGCAGGAAGGGGATGCTGAGGAGCTAAGCCTTAGAGTTTAGGAATTGGGATGTATGGCTCAGGGTTTTCATGTAGGGCTGTGTCAGAACAAGCAAGGAGGATGCTTCAGGCTTGACGGCATTCAACGGGCATTGTCAGTGTCAATGAAGGGAATCCTGAGAGACCAACAACCATCAACCCTGCGTGCGATCATGGCTAGAGGCAGACCTGAAGCTAGCCAGCTCACATCTGAGACAGGGATGACGTCAAGAGCGCGGGCGCACCCCGGCAATCGGCACGGCACCGAACTCGAAGCCCATCACAACCATCTCTTGCCTGGACGATGCAGGAGCGAGCCTGCTTCACAGCCGCTTGGATCCTTTGCTGAGAGCCGGAGCACAGGGTCAACGAAGAGATCCGACCCCAGGATCAGGGCGGCAGCCTTGGCTGCTGAATTGTTCGGGTGCAGTTCTCTTCCAAGCACAAGAATCATGACCACTATCACCATCGCCATCATCATCAAGAACATCAACATCCACATCATATCAACAACAGCACCCATCATCATCCTTATCATCCTCATCTTAATCCTCTTCCTCCTCCTCATCATCATGATCACCATCATCATCATTACCAGCATCATGTAAACAGCCGTAAACTGCCGCCAGCAAGGTTCATGCTCAGAAGTACGACAACAACACAGGCAATTTTGATGATGGAACATGATTGTATCAGTATGCCGGGCCTACCATGATAAGACCTGGCATCGTGCCCACCCTATCCATTGACCTTTGGGGCGGGAGGGGGGGGCTGCGGAGCGCATGACCATATCTGACACCCATCTGAAACAACAGGCAATGGCAGCGACTAGGAAGGACAGACATGATGCATCACAGGTGGGGGCACAGCTGCCTGCACGCAGATTGAAACGACGGTAGCAATGAGATGGACGTATTGCCCATTAACAGAAGAGGCACCCAAACTAGGCAGAAGCTTTCATCCTCATCATCACCGTCTGTATCAACACGAGCTCATCAGCATGATTGGTCTGTCGATTCAGATAAAGGCAAGATAACAGTTGTTTTCTACTGATTTACTGTACTGCATTGTCTTGATGGCACTGCGGCCGACGAAAATGCGTGTCTGCCCGGCGCTCCATATGCTTTCTCGATGTCGCGTTTAGAGTGCCTGGTTTAGGGCCTTAAGCAAGTCTGATCTGGCCTACCGCTTTTTGAACCGTGCCCTCATCTCAGTCTGCACTTCACACCCCGCAGAGTATCCAGAAATCGCGGACCTCTCACGGCCTCTACAAACTGCACCTGCCATCATTGCTGAACCCCACTCCAAAGCTCCTAGATTTCTGAGCTCCCCCGTTCGGAATTACAGGGATTCCACTGGTTGATGCGCGAGGTTGAATCGAGCAGTACCTGGGCCTAGACCCGAGCTCCACACCCAAAACCCTACACCCTGAACCCTAAACATACCCTCAAGGCCTAACCCCCCCAAACCCTACTAAACCCTGTAACCCTAAATTTGGTAACGATATATTATCACCCTAAACCCTTGCACCCCTGAACCGCTCCCCTCAGAGCCTCAGCTCCTCGCCGGCCCAGCCTGAAATGACTGCTGCAGCAGCGAGAGCGCGGCCCCTTCAAGGTCAGATTTCTGCTCAGAGAGTTCAGGGATGTTTAGGGTATCTTTAGAGTTTTAGGGCTCTGTAGGGTTTCGGGGATCCCCCAAACCCCAAAGCCTAAATCCTTAAAACGCCCTAAGCCTTGACAGGAGACAGCTGAACTCCGAGCCCTGAAAAAGACGATTTTTCGGCTTCGCGCCTGCAGAGACCACCGCTGCCTTGAGGGAAGAGATTCGGGAGCCCGGCTCCTCCTGGATGGCTTCGGGGCTTCAGGGTTTAAGGGGTTCTAGAGAGTGCAGGATTGAGGGATGTGGGGGTTCTGTGACTTCTATAAGCGGCTCGAAGAGGGGGTTCTAGGAATGATTCTGCGAGGACTGTCTCAAGACTGAACTAAATTGAGCCCTGAAGCCGCCCATGAACGAGGGCGCCTACGACTCGTCGTAGTGCCAGTAGTGCTGGTAGTGACGGTATGTCACGGTAGTAGCAGCAGCGGCAGCATCAGTAGTATTGCTAACTTCGGAGATCGGGCTGTGGCTGAGGCCTGGAAGTCCGCACTGAGCGTCGTCACCCGGCTCGGAGTGCCCTGGCATCCGCTGACATGGCTGAAAGGAACACGCAAAAACACACACAAAAAAAAACTTTATGGCACGACAACATCTGGTAAAGGAGTTCTACGTAATGCTGTCCGAGCTGAGCAATCAATGCAACCTGCTTATAAGGAAGATGAAAAACCTGCTGATACCGCAAATAGCCATACCAACAACCAATATCAACAATAGTCGAATAATGCGAATACGAAGAGTAGCAACACAGATGGTAGCATTTTGCGATCAGACTTCGGGGGTCCCTGCCTCCAGTTGAGACAGCAGCTGCGGCACCAAGGCCCCTGCCTCTCACTCTCACGGACGCAACGGGTGCAACAAACCATGATCAGGGTTCGGGGTTAAGGGCGGTTTCTATGTTGTTCCATAAGTCCGCAAGCGATGTAAGGCTATGTAGGACAATGTGGGATTCTACAAGACTTGACGGACTTGCAGGGTTTGGGGCCGTGTAGGGTTCGCTGCAGATGACATCGATGCCAACGGTGTTCGAAGTCCCGTGTCTTGAGCCGCACTTGCAAGGCGCAGTTTGAATTTGGTGATCTTGGATTCGATCCAGCCTGTGTTCCGCAGCAAGTCTGGCAGAAAGTGCACCTTGCGGCGAACAAAGACAACAAAGGCAACTGCACCGTCTGCATGAGAAATCTCAGGCACGCACGTGCTCCCGCCGATGGTAATCTGCCCGCTCAGAGAAGTCTGCATCAGCCTGCCAAGAAGCAGCCTTTTGGCCAGCTCATAGGGTCAACTATGCCTCTGCCTTCCCTACAAAAGCGTGCCTCAGGATTGCCAAGGACTCTGCGACATCGTCCGCTGCACCGTTGTCCTGTGCTGCAGCCTCACCGACGAAAGTCAATGCTGAAGGGTCTTGGACGCAGGGGTTTCGGGTTTGTAGAGGCTACCAAGCCAGAGCGACGTCTTCGGACGAAGACTCCAATGCTCAGCCATCAGCTCAATGCCGAAAAGCGGTAGTCTTCTTGAATCAGTATGCGGTATGCCGGTATGCTGCATGGAGCCTGTGTTGCAGCGGTTGCGAGAGCATCCACAGCTGTAGACACTGTCTGCACCTGTCTTCCGGCTCATTCGCGGCTTCAGACCCCAACTTGCCGGCCCCTCCTCCTGTCCAGCAGTGGCAATGCCAATGAAGGATGCCTGGCACCAGGCAGCATAGAAATCTCAGCGTCCCTCTAAACTGCTAACAGCTCAGCAAATGCTGATTTCCGCTCTATAGAGGCATATCGGACAACATGGGATGACGAACTTCTTTCACTCGACTCATGTTCGGAAAACCTGAATGAAATTCGATTGCTAGCGTAGCTGCTACAAGTAGCAACTTGAGAGCAGCATAAACAAAATCTTACAAAACCCCTCAACAAGCCCTCACAAACCGCATAAAGAAAAAGATAACTGAGACCTCCGTGGTGGTTGTTGGCTGCCGTGCCTAAAGGCCCTAAAACCTAGATACTGAGCCCGATTCAAAGTCGAAACCCTAAACCCGAAAAAGCCCACCCAAAACCGCCTGAAGCCCTAAAACCATCCTTGTAAACACTGAAGGCCCGCAGCCCCAAAGCCGCACAACCCTGCACCCTCATCTAAAACCTCAAAACCATGAAACATTAAACCCTCATCCGCCCTAAACCCCAAAATCCCTAAACCCTGCTCTAACACCGCCCGAACGAGAGATTCGGGGCCCCGGCGCCCTGAAGCAGCCGAGAGGAGTTGGATCCCGGATCAGGATCGGCGCTCGCCGAGGATCCACCTGCTCTCTGGTCGTTTTCAGGATGTAAGTAAGGGTTTGGGGCTTTAGATTTTAGGGCTTTTTTTTGTTGAGCACCTTTTTCCATCCGCCTAAAGGTCTAGGAATCTGGAATTCGCTTTGCAGGGTTCAGGGTTTTGGGCTGTTGGTCTCGTGTATAGACTTCGGGCTTAGGGTTGCAATCGAGCGCAAGAAGGCCTGCAGGAACGGAGGCCGCATTGCCGATGGCGGTGACGTCTCCCCTCGGGCACCGGGGCTGATTCATCATGAGCCCTACAGATCCAAGGCTCGATCGAGGTCGCCACAGCGCCGACCGAAGGAACTCCCTCTCGGGGCAAGGCTGCTATGAATGAGACAAGCAGCGCACGCCGTACAAGTAGCACTGCAAGTGTGAAAGCAATGGACAACTCTGCTACGAGTGATTCATGAGTGGTCAGCTTTGCTTCGGCCGCGAGGCCGGGTGGAATTGCGATGCTGCTTGATATCGGACCCACCCACATTACCTACAAACCTACAGATCTACGATTTAAGCAGGTCTTCGATGCCTGGATGCGCAGTCTGCGCTGTTCGCCACCGCCGAGCCGGCTTTGACGTCTCCCATAATGCCTCACAGCTGCCATGCAAAAACGAGCTCGATTTTGACGGTAGCCCTGCCTGCCATGGGAAGCGCTGCCATACCACCGAGACCAGCCAAGGACAGCAAAAGGATCACAATCTTCTTGACGTTCCCTGTCACTGCGGCAAGAAATCGTTGCAAGTGCAGGTCGCGCATTGAGAGCAGTGCGCCTATTTTCCTGACCTCCTTTCCCTCACGGCAGCACCTCAAACTCACTGTGCATTGGCCGTTGGCACACTGAAGGCTCTCAACATGCACTGCTAGTAGCGACGTTCAGGCGCGGACGAGCAACAGCACTTGCGGCAACATCGGCAGCATACCTCTCCAGATTCAAAAATTCCTGCACCCCTCCTGGCTACGGGAGTCGCAAGCGTCGTATCTGCACATGAAGCTAGAAAAATATTGGGAGAGCACCTTGCAAGCAGCAATCGGCCAGCACACCAGCACGATGCCGATGATCGCCTGAAGCTTCAGAGTGCAACAGCACATGGGCAGAAATCCGCCGTCTGCTCGAAAGGGCTCAGCTCTAGACCAGGGTCCCAGGACCCATCCCACTCAAAGAGCCCAGAATCGCGCCGTAGATCAGGAAGGCCACATAGGACTCAGGCACTTCGAGACTTGGAGCTTCAGGCTTCAGGAGGCCAAGGCTGCCATCTGAGGCTCCCGGCGCATTCGCCGATGGTCAAGAACTCCAGCAAGCCGCTCTCTTTGCCCGCGTTGCTGCCACGGTCCGCCCGCTCGACCGCGGTGATTTCGCATGTGTCTGCCTCGGACATCGCCTCCAGCAGACTGTTCGCCGGACAGCCACCGGCAAGCCTCCTTCCCCCCCGGGAAGTCGCCTCCTTGAGAGGATCCAGCCAGGGGTTCGAAGATGCTTCCAGCAGCCAGGCCCTTAGGGCCCTCTTCAGCTGCTCGGTGCCTTCTGTGCCTACACCGTCCGTGGAGTTGGGGAGTAGGAAAGTGCCGGCCCGAAGATGCTGGGCATCGGGTCGCGTGCAGCCTTCTGGACAGGCTTTGGGAAGCCTTCCTGAAGCCGAAGCAGGCGATCCTGAGCACACGACGGTTTAGGGTCTAGTAGACTGTGATTAGGGCCAGTAGGGTCGAGCAGAGGGCGTAGGTTTCGGGCTTCGGGTGCAATGCGGGACCTCCCGTCTGCTCGGACGAACTGCACGCACCTTGACTTCAACGCTTCGTGCAGCCAAGCTTCGCACACGCTGCCCCTGCAGCAAGCGAGAAAGGCCGATAATGTTTCTCAAAGACTCATAGGCACTCTTTGCACATGATAAGTGTTTTGCCTGCTGGCGAGTCCGGCAATCGCAGCCCTGCAACCTGTCGCTGAAGTTACATGGAAGGCAGACTCGAAGGTCCAAGCACTAAGCTGCCGGCTCTTCCTCCTCCTCATCCTCCTCCTGATGCATTGCAGCACCCGGAGAGTGATTTTTTAGAGCCTTGAACCTAGCCGAAAAAAGGGGCCATGTGAATCTCTTAGCCGTAGTTTCTAGGCACGCTGTCCTCGTCTTCCCTCGGCGGTCGGGGGTGGAGGAACCCTCCCGCAGCCCTCCTGGCTGGATTGGTCTCGCAATATGGAGGCTTCAAGTGCAAGAGGGCGCGGGGTTGTAGGGCGCAGCTCTATGGATAAGATAGGAAAGCTGGGTATAGGAAAGATAGAGAGAGAGAGAGAGAGGGGACACTGAGATGAAAAACTAGGGTTTATCTGCCCTTGGGACCTTAAGCAAAGGATTTTCAGGCGGCCTTCCGTCTCCGGGCAATCCTCAACGCCTTCAAGCTTCAAAACGCCCGAAGGGATGCTTCGACGGCTTAGGGTTCAGGGCTTAGGGTTTAGGGCTTCGGGCTTAGGTTTTGGGGTTTAGGGTTTGGGTTCTGTAGGGTTTGGGTTCAGGGTTTTGGGCTAAGGTCTTGTTCTTCTAACGGGGTTTTAGGGTTTAGGCGCCGCATACCGGCCCGAGTCCTGGTCCTAGCATCGGCCGGCGAGGAGGAGCCTTGTAAGGAGTGTTTGGTTTACGTTAACACCCTCGCAGAACCCTAACCACTGCAGCTTTGAAGGTGCACAAAAGGTGTCTGAGTCTAGGGTTATCACTGGTTCCAGGGTTTGCAGTTCACGGTGTGCTTAGGGCCATCATGATGCACTTGAGGTAGAACTAGTTTCACCTGCACTTGCAAGAAACACCCCAGCCCGAAATCTCAACAGCGTACAGCTCTTTACATTTAACTCCTAACAGCCCGGACGCAAACACGAAAAAAGTACAGGCACAGATACATATATTAACCCACAAAATCCTGCCTAAAGATGAAGCTCCCCCCTCCCGAGTCGGCTGTGCTCACGACCGGCACCTGCAACCACGAAGACCTCGGAGGGCCAAAGAAACCGCGGAACTGACGCCGGGCCCGTTGATACCAAAAAAAAGTTACTGCAAAACATTGCGTTGCAACTCTCTGTGGCGCGACCCGTGTTTATACGATTACTGGCAAACTGTAGGTGTTTGCTTTCGGTGGTTCAAGATTCAAGTGTCATAACGATGCAGATGCATGATCCAGTTCAAGGAACGAAGGTACTGTGATTGGCCTGGGCCCTCACGGCGAAGCTGACAAGCGCGAAGTAGGGCACAAGTAGACACCTCGCAGCCAGTGCTGGCGCCGCTTGCGGAGTTGCTCAGTTGAATCGCGCCTCTGCATTGCCAAGCAGATGCTTGGCCTTTACAGGGGCCTGGTTGGGCCAGCAACTGGTTCACCGTGCGCTGCTGGCATGGAATGATTTCCCCCTCCGAGCTGCGCACGAAACGCATCCTTGGTGCTTTCAGCTGTCGAGATGCAAGCCCATGACAAAGGCATGTGGGAACGTTGCGGAAGCTTGGACTCCTTACCCTTTTCAATGAGGCCATGCAATTGTGATCTCTTCCCCTAAGGGGAAGTCTTGCGAAGGTGTCCCTTGCGGGAGCTCAAGATAATAGACTGCGTCCACGCTCAAAACCACAACACTGACTCGGGCTGTCACAAGCCTAAACCAGCAACCTGAAAGACCCTCCATACACCCTGGCGACCTCGGCTGTGAATCTCTTCGAGATTGCACTCACATCATGGCTTCACAACGGCAGCACGCCCTCGCCAACTAGCTCCTATGCATCTTCAGTGGCGCGCTCGGAGAGACCGAAGCTTCACAGAGCTGATTCTGGTGAGACAGAGCGCCGGGTCTCGTGCAGGCGTCCTGTCCAGATTCCGCTTCATGGACGATGTGGCGCTTCTTAGAATGATAGAGGCGCTGTCCTCAAAAAAACCTGAATCTCATCATTACGGGCTCTGGTACTTGAGTCCCTTGTCAGGACAACACTGTCAGTCTCAAGTAAAGCATGACGCTGGGAATCTTGTGGACCAACAGGCTCGTTGCGCATGCTTCAAAGCACACGAACCACTAGAAGTATCCTCACGAAAACACACGTGAACAGCTCTGGTTGCTTATGGGTACTGTGGTCTCAGTCCTCTCAGTAGGCCACTTCAACTGCCCGGTCGCTGCCATACACCAGCTTCAGATCCTGAAGCACTCGGATCCTCGAACTTTACATATTGACACTTTCAGGAGGGTGCGGAGATGTCCTCGGAACTCTGAAGAGTGCCCGGTGGAAGGAAATTTCTGAGCTCTCTTGCATGTTCCTCAGAAGCGCGACGAGTCAGCATCGCACACCGAGGCACAAATGCAGCAGCCGGCAGGCCTCGATGATCCGTTTGCGCTCCGCTTGGATCACGGCCTGTGACTGAAGGTTCTACGGCCAACCCAACCCCGTACCTCTCCCCCCCTGCCTCCCGCTGATGCTCATCCTTCTTCAAAGCCTCCATCTCCTCGCGCTCCTGCACAAAGTGCAGAGGCACCCTCTAACAGAGTCTCAGAAGGTCCCCAAAGTAACGACAGGAATAGCAATCATGATGAAAGTACCCAATACGAGTAATGGTATTAAGTATCATGGGCATGAGTCATAGTCTAAGGCGAAGTCACAATCAAAGTCGCGGTAATAGCAATAAGACTAATTGCAAAAGCAAGATCAACAGTAAAAGTGTCCGAAGCAGAAATACGGATGCAGCCGTTAGTAACAATCGTAATGGTAACGGTATCGGTAATGGTACGAAAACAATAGAAACAAACGATGGCAATGGTAGTCTGGTAGTGGTACAAGCGATCGAAATAGCAAAAGCAATAGTAGCGGTAGTGGCTACGGTAGCAATAGCAATCATAGCAATCAGCGTAACAAAGAAAATTATAGTAGTGGCAATAGCAGCATTAATAGCCACAAGAATATTAGCAAGAAGAGCATCAACAATATCAACATAGAATAAAATAATACCATTTTCACACTCTTGTTAACTTCTTCGCAAGGCTTCTTTTCTAACTACAACAACAGTAACAACCACAATGCTACCAATCAGAAGAACAAGGATAAGCATACGAAAGTGAGTGCGAGTAAGAATAAGAACAACAATACCAATAGCTCTAATAGCAATATAGCAACGATGGACAAACACATACAATGATGCCAACTCGTAAACATAATATCGAAGGAATGATAGGGTGTTTAAGATAAGGCCCCCGCCCCCCCCCCCCCCCCCGCCCTCAAACACAGCGCCCCTAAATCGCGGGCCTTTTGCCGAGCCATCTCATAGGTCTCGTGCCGGATCTGCAGCAACCTCTCGGTCTCCCTCTTGTGCGCCTCCAGCTTCAAGCGCCTCAGGGAAAAGGTGTACCAAAAGATAAGAGGGCCTTAAGTTCAAGGCGCTTTGGGTTTCGTGGGCATGCGGTTCTTTGGGGCTTTTGAAGCTTCGCTTAGGATTGAGGGGTTACAGGCTTTCCGGGCTCAGGGCTTTACGGCTTTCCGGCTTCAGATCGGCGGCCTCTTGTGATCGTTGAGCTGCTCGAGCCTGTCGTCCTCAAGAGTGTGCACTTCGGGGAAACACAAGGACAATATTTAAGGTACCATGAAAGGTTCCTCTGAAGGTACCTTCAGGGAGCATAAAGGCAAGACGAGGCCCTACAAGGCCTGCTTGAAGGGCATTCTAGGAATACTTCACATAAACCCTGGGTCTAACGAAAGCATCTTCGAACCCTCCTCTGCAAACTTCTGCATCATCTCTGCTCGGAGCTTCTCCTGCTTTCAGATCCGACAGAACTAACACGGGCACAGTAAGAAAGACAACAGTGGTAGCCCTAAACCCTAAACCCTAAACCCCAAACCCGAAACCCTAAACCCGAAACCCCAAACCCTAAACCCCAAACCCTAAACCCTAAACCCTAAAGCCTGAACCCTAAACCCCAAACCCCAAACCCGAAACCCTAAACCCCTCTCCGTGTGACAGACCCTCAAGTCAAAGGATCCGAAGCCTCGAACCCCAAATCTCTGCAGCAACCCAGGCACGCCGAGCCTCCTCCGCGCGAGCCTGTGCCAGCTTCTCATCTTTGGCCCTGAAGGAAATCCGGTTTAGGGTTTAGGGTTAGTCCACTCACTCTCCATTAAATGCAGGATATTTGTATGCGGTGTATACAATCTGTCTGCACCTATATCTTTGTGTTGCTACTTGTAGTCTAGACAGACATGACGATGACATGAGCTGATATCACGCGATGTCTTGGGTATCACGTACTGTTGGCTTCAGTTCGGGGCCAGCCTCTGTTGGACCTCGCAGGCCATCTTCAGCTCCTCCTTATCCTCCAAAATCTTCCGGGCACGCTGCTCCTGCCGTAAGGTTCTCGGCTTGGGACCTTTTGGATTTTGGGGATGTTGGTGCTTTCGGGCTTTAGTCTTTTCGGGGCTTTAGGGCCTTAAGGCTGTTGGTTCTTGGATGCGGGCTTTGGGTTTACGGTCCCAGCGGCTGCCTGGCCTTGAGAAACAGACCTAAGCGAGATCAGGACCCAAATCGTAAAACGTAACTTCCGCAACTTAATCCCTTAATCCTAAACCTGCAACCTCCAAACCGGAACCCTCGCACTCCCCAACATCCCTAAACCACAAACCCTAAACCATTTACGGCATCTTTGCTCTGCCTCTGGGCCTAGAAAGAGGCCCTGCTGGCCCCAGAGGCGATTCGATGAGCCGTTACGAGCTCTGCATCGCTGTATGCTGCGGCTGGCTATCTGTCTATGTACATATATACAGAAAGCTAGTTAGTTAGATGGTCCGTCAGCCAGTCATTTAGTGAGTTAGTCAGGTTAGGTTGGGTCAAGTCAGGTCACGTCGGGCTCGCTAGTTAGTTAGCTAGCTAATTAGCTAGTCAGTGAGTCAGTTAGTTAGTGAATGGTCTGCTCACTTGCTTATGTATTGACATGTATATACAGATGCTGTGGATCTACATCTATAGCCCACACACACACCACATAAATGGCTGTATCACTGTATGCTGATAGACGGTGCTATCCACTCTTATACCTTCTTATATACCTTCTTATGTTCCTATATATAACTATATATAACTGCTACCTTCGTATATGCCTTGTTTATTCCTCTGATACACCTTCTGACGCACCATTAGGTGGATTGCAATACATCCTCGGAAGCCGCTCTCCTCCTGGCGCCGGCTCTTCGCTTCGAGCTCCTCGAAGTGGAGCTCGTTGCACAGATATTCGAGCCTCGAACCGCCGTAATGAAGACAGTGGCTGCGAACATAACGATATGTTACATGAACGAAGATCATGGTAGGCATTGCGGTTCAGGATCACTGGACCCGAAGGAGTTCTACGTAATCAGCCTGCAAGTCTGCAAAGCTGTCACATGTACTCGAACGTCATGAGGACGTACAGGCGTCCACAACACTGCGCATCAGCAGTAGCCTTTTCCACGAACTTAGATTGCAATCTGTGCCCGCAACCTCGCACTCCGTGCAAAGGCTGCTAAGGCCAGTCCTGTGTCATTCGGGCTTGACCCAAGCGACTACTCCGCTCTGCGCTTGCGACCCTGCACTCCATGCCAGGACTCGCTAAGCTGCAGTGCGGTCAACAAGACCTCGTCCTTCGACAGAAAGAACTGACTATACACCACCGAGCAGTCTGCCCAGATAGACCGTAGTAGTCACCCGAGTGACTTGAGTGAGAAAGCTCTACAAAAGCACGGCACTCGTTGCCACGAGGAGTACCTCGTCAGGCTTCTACTTCTACACAGCTACTTTTTCGGCGGGAGCGGCCTTGGTTTCTTCAGCGGTCTTGCTCTCTGACGTGTTTACCTCTGCAGGGCCATGGAACATGCCACCGTGCTCTGCCCAGTAGTAGCAAGGGCTGAGCAATGCCCAGAACATTACGTAACCAGCGTGCACTTGGAAAGGGAGCAAAGGATCATCGATCGGCCGGTAGAAGCAAAAGCCTGCAATGACAGCTCCCAAATTTCCTCCAGCCCCAACAAGGGCAGACACCACCGCCAGTTGAGGCCTGTTCATGAAAGGCACAATGCCGTAGCCGGTTCCCTCAGCCATCTGGACCAAAAGGGAGAAGCACACCAGCACTGCCAAGGCCACGTACCACGGCTGAGAATTGTCCACCAAGCCGAAGCAAAAGAGGAAAATCGCTTCAAAGAAGAGGGACAAGAACTGCGCCCAGATGCGGCCGCGGAATCCCATGTACTTGAAGAGGATGTCGCTTGTGATCCCTCCCAATGATCTGGCAAAGAGATTCATGAGGCCGAATGCTCCTGCCAGGGCAGAGGCAT